AAGTGTGAATCGGAATACTACCAAAGGCATGAAGTTCACAAAGTGAAGGTAGAACTAGTGAGAACACATTCACATGAGTAGAAGAACAGCCAAGTATGAAACGAAACACTACCTCCTACATGAACTTGACAAAGTGAAGGTAGAACTAGTGAAAACACATTCACATGAGTAGAAGATCAGCCAAGTGTGAAACGGAACATTACCACATACATGAGGTGAAGGTTGAACTAGTGATAGCACATGCATATGAGTAGAAGAACAACCAAGTATGAATTGGAACACTACCACATGCATGAATTTGACAAAGTGAAGGTAGAACTAGTGAGAACACATGCACATGAGAAGGAGAACAACCAAGTGTGAATCGGAATACTACCAAAGGCATGAACTTGACAAAGTGAAGGTAGAACTAGTGAGAACACATTCACATGAGTAGAAGAACAGCCAAGTGTGAAACAGAACACTACCTCCTGCATGAATTTGACAAAGTGAAGGTTGAACTAGTGAGAACACATGCACATGAGTAGAAGATCCGCCAAGTGTGAAACGGAATACTACCACATACATGAACTTGACAAGGTGAAGGTTGAACTAGTGAAAGCACATGCATATGAGTAGAAGAACAACCAAGTATGAATCAAAACACTACCAAATAACACTAGCGCAAGCATGGACAAGAGTTGCGATTTATTCCTAAGTGAAGAAGAGGAGAAAAAGTGAGAAAAGAGTGAGTCTAACTCACTCAAATGCATGAAATCACAAGGGGGAGAGGTGACGATTCACATGGGAGTGAAGAAAAGGAGTAAACAAGAGATAATCATCATCAAAATACTAGGTTGATCAAAGACAAGAATTGCGCTTTGCTCCGAAGTGAAGAAGAGGAGAGAAAGTGAGGAAGAAGTGAGTCCAACTCACCCAAATGCACGAAATCACACAGGGAGAAGTGGCGATTCACATGGGGGTGAAGAAATGGACAAAACAAGAGATAATCATCATCAAAACACTAGAGAAAGCACATACAAGAGTTGCGATTTAGTCCTAAGTGAAGAAGTGGAGAGAAATGGAGAGAAAAATGAGTAGAACTCGCTCAAATGCATGAAATCACAAGGGGAGAAGTAGCGCTTCACATGGGAGTGAAGAAATGGACAAAACAAGAGAGTATCTTCATCTAAACACTAGAGAAAG